AAAGGTCACTTTAAAATGCAATCTCACTGAAATGTCATCATCGATACGACTTTGCTCCGGACCCGTTATTTTGACGAGCGGCCTACCAGAGATACCGTAGAAACAGCTGTTGCAATGCAGGCCTTAGGATTTTAAGAAAAAACATCAACCATGATGATCACCTCTTAATATCAGGAAGTGGGTTACAATTCAAGTCATTTCCTTTCTATTTTAAAATTCAAATTGTATTTTATTCCCACAGCACCTTTTGGGAGGGATGCCAGGGTTGGGGTGCCCCGGGTTCATCCCTCTTACATAATATAGCCTCACGCAGGAAGCCTCTTTCCCTTCATTCTCTCTTTCTTCTCTCAAACTCCATATCATTCATTCTTTCATTCTCATTCATTACAATAATAACAAAAGTCATTTTCTAACCCTTTTAAACATATAGAGGACGAATCGAACCGAAACAGATAGTGAACCACAAGTCAACAATTTCTCCGTAAACACGACTTCATCTTTCCAATGTATGTTATTGGTACATTTATTTTAACTTGAACCTGCCAGGTTTCGGAATGGATGTCGCTTAAACATGCTTTACTAGGATGGATTACTAAATCTAGTGGTAAGAATTGTTGAGATCGGGTTTCAGTCGCCTTAGGTCATGATCGTTTCCGTGCATTCTTTTGTTTTTAGATGATGTTAATGATGTACTCTTCTGAGGTTTAAATCGCGTTCAAGTCTCGTTTTGATCTTGTTTTTAAATGGGGTTTTATAAAATAAATTAAGATGGTCTTGATATAAAATTAGATAATATATTATAATCTATTTCATGTTGTCCTGGCATTATTGAATAAGTTATATTTTGGATTTAAATGAAAGATAAGTTATTTCTATGTTCTTGATGATATTACAAGTACTGAAAGAAAGAAAAAACCGAATGCCGTAGATAATATATGAGTAAAACCGTAATTCAATGTTAACTCTAATGGTATGATAATACGACAGAGATATCATATTTTGGAAATAACCGAAGTGTATGTGTGACACAGGACTACATGTAACTGCAATTGAATTCAGTGCCGATTTCACACTGTGTATCTTGATCCCGTCCTCCTCCTCCTCCACCTCCTGTGTATCTTGATCACGGTCCTCCTCCTCCTCCTCCTCCTCCTCCTCCTCCTCC